TTCCTCATCTTTATAATGAAAAATAGTGTTTGGGAAGATACGTGTTACGTATTCTGTTCTCTCCAGATTTAATGCTCGAGGTTTTGAAGGACAAAATATTGATGTTACAAAAACACTATCTATTCCTTATCTTTTCCCCTTTTTGTGACAGAAAATGAATTAAAAATACTTTCTGCATCTAGTACAAAGACAGAAGAGGTACCTAAGTACAGTGTGGGTTCTATATTAGTCTAAAATGAGTTTATGCAGCCTCTGGTTTTCAGACAGTTCTGGAAAGTACCACTCATCTCTGATGATGCCTTGCGAGCCTTATTGCTGATTTTGGCTGACTGCTTTTTTCCCCAACATTAAGCTTACTCAAGCATTCCAGATTGGATATGGGGTAATTATAAGGCAGGGTGTACATTGTGGCAAATTTTAATCATTTCTTGAGCCATTTTGCTTGTAATGATAATCCCATATGACCGACGTATCTTGCATAAGAAACACAAATAGATTTTTGCTGAAAGCAGCTCTTGCATTACTTTGTAATCTGTTCATTCCATCTTTACTTCTGGACTTTTTTTTATGACCAGAACCAGCCATTTTAGGGTTCTAATATTGTGTTGATGGTAGCTAGAGACACTGTACTTATAAAAGACTCGAAAGCAGACAATAATAATGATTGAAACACTAATTCAAGTTTTCTCTGTTGTGATTTATGCATGGTAGAATTACCTCTGTCTAAACTCCTCCTGGGGACAAATAACACTATCCCCAGAGATATTTCAACATATTTTTGTTGCTTTCCATACTTTTAGCACAATTTCAGTGAAAATGGCAGAGTAGTAAACTCATGACCTTGAGGGTGAGGGGGGGTGTGTATGAAACAGAATAAGGAAAATTTGCTCACATCATTTTGGAAGGCAAACTAACATTCATAACTGCACATTATTACCCTGCTTTGCTATGATATTTCTTTAAAAATATCAATTCTTCTCCATTTTTTTATACCAGCAGTTTTTTCCTTGGGAAGGAAAAAAAGGCCAATAATATGTTTTTTAAAAATCCAGACCCTTCAGAATTTTAAATTGTTTTTAAAATCTTTTAAATGGGGTATTTATCACTACATTAAGTTGCCCATGTTGGGCTCGAATTTGTCATCCTCCTGCCTGAGCCTAGCAGAACTGTGGAATTATGTATGCACCACCACACTTTACCATTAATAATTTACTTTGATTTTACTCAAGAAACGCCTTTCAAATCTTATCTTCTCTTATGCTTGATGATTTTTCTTTTTAAAATGGGAATCATAAGAGTCAAGTTCATGAACAAAAATCAAACTGCATGGGAAATACTTCCCAGAATCAACAACAGGGATCTTGTCTTATTAAAAAGTTTTTGCATGTCAAAATAAATCTCCAACAGAGTGAAAAGAAAAAACCACAAATTAGGAAAGGATTTTAGTCAGCTGTCCCTGAGACAAAGGACTTGTGTCTAGAATATATAAAGAATTTTTAAAAATCAAGCCCCCCAAATTCAAAGACCCAATCCAAAAATAGACATCCAAGAAGAATACACACTTCTCAGATGAAGAAATACAAACAGCAAATAAATATACAACAAAATGTTCAGCATCACTGATCATTCGAAAAATGCAAATTGAAACAACACTGAGATTTCATCTTACTCCAGAAATAATGGCCAAGATCACGAAATCAACCAATAACAAATGCTGGAGTGGCTGTGGGTAAAAGGACCATTTCTCCACTGTTGTTGGGAGTCTAGACTGGTGCAACCACTGTAGAAATTAGTGTGGAAATTTCTCAAAAATCTGGGATTAAAGGTTCCATTTGATCCAGCTATCCTGCTTCTGGGCATTTCCCCAGAAGAACTGAAAACATACCACAGTGGAATATGTTTACCCGTGTTTATTGCAGCACAATTTGTAAAAGTCATATCTTGGAAACAACCCAAATGCTCATCAATCAAGGAATGCATAAAAAAATGTGATATTTTTTATACAGTGAAATACTATTCAGCTATAAAGAAAGATTGCATCAAGGCTTTTATATGTAAATGGATGTGACTTGAGACCATACTCATAAGTGAAGTAAATCAAATTCACATGTGTAAATACCCTATAGTCTCCCTAGTGTAGGAAACTGAGAGAGCAAATACAATCCAAAATCTACAACAAACATTGTGTAAGGGTAAGAGACTGCTCAAAAAGAAAATCTAACTGAGATAGGGAAAAGGAGGAAAGATGGAAGGGAAAAGAAAAAAGACACAAATTTGTGTGTGTGTGTGTGTGTGTGTGTGTGCGCGCGCGCGTGTGTGTGTGTGTGTGTCCGTGTATGTGTGCGTGTGTGTGTGTGTGTGTATGCATAAGATAGCTAAAGTGACTATACTACTAATTGTATTAGTTCTTGGAAAAGAACAGTTAATACTCATATGATTAGATCAATTTTACATGTCTGTATCTGGTAATCTAAGCAACCCTTTTGAAGGTAACAATGTGCAATATTACAACCATTGTTAATTTTGTGTTTTGAAAATCTATACTGTCATTGTTTTGGGTTTCTTGTTGTTTGTCTCTTTCATTTTTTGTTTTTTTCTTCTGTGGCTTTTTTCTTTTAAATAAGTATGTCAGAAACATTAGAGGTTTTTATGTTTTTTGTTTTGTTTTCTTTCTTTCTTTCTTTCTTTCTTTCTTTCTTTCTTTCTTTCTTTCTTTCTTTCTTTATTTATTTATTTTTGTGACAGATCTCGCTCTACAGTTCAAGCTGGGCTTGACCTCACTTTGTAGCCCAGGCTGGTCTCAAACTCCAGGCAATCTTCGTGCCTTGGCCTCCCAAGTGCTGAGATTAAAGGTATGCACCACCACATCCTGCTATCATTAGAGGTTTTTAAAGTAATCCAAATACCTACTGCTGGAGGCCCTTTATCACCACCTGTACTCTGGACTCTGAAAACTGGGAGATACCATTCATTACACAAGGGACAGAATACAACTGAAACAAAGTACAGAACCTAGATGTGGTCTCCTGTTTCTCTATTCTTGAATTCTCTCATCTGTCTTGTAAAGAATTCGGTGACGCATAGTCTCAATTTTAATTCTTGATTATTGAGAATATGACCAATGGGGAGTTAAATAGCACTTCAAAATATTTTTTCTTGAGAATTTAGATCACCTGGTAGTGACCTTTTCATTTCAGTGATCCAGAAAGTCACAGATATGTTTAAAGATCTACCTCATGTGAAAAGAACTCTGGGAAAATTTTATTGCTATTCCTTAGAATAAATCAAATCATTAGATAAAGTTAACTGCAAAATACAGGCCAAAAGAACAAGTTCTAGAAAGGGCACTGTGGCTTTAACCCAGTTTCCCAGTTAATTAGTTTTACGACCTTGAAAAATCACTTAACATTTTTGAAGTTTTGTTTACACATCTGTTAAAAAGTGATAAGAATATTTTCCTATTCAATGGGTCATTAAGAACATTAAGTGAGACAATTTATTTAAAACACTTTGGTATATGGCATATGTTTTAAGTACATTTAAGTAGCTTCCTTGGTCAACTGATATAATGGAAACACAGAATTTGGTGAAAACACTCACTTTTCATTTTTTCATTTGTTTTAGAATCTCAAAGTTTCAGTAAATTTCCATGAGCTTTATTTTGAAATAATAGTATTAGAAAACTAATTTCATAGCATTAATACCTTACAGAAAAATTTTATATGTCCAAAACATTCTTAACAAAACCAAAAAGAAAAACAGAAATATATGGATTATATCTTTTGCTAACTCACTGAATAAAACAATCATTTAAACACACTGAAAGATGTGTCAACATTTAACTAGCAAATTAGAGTCAATAATAATTTCATGAAATATATTTTTATTTGTAGTATCAGAAGTTTAGTGACTTCAAGTCACTATTTAATCAGTCAAAGCACTGAAGACTCCATGTGATAAACTGAAATATATTTGGATGAGATTATAAAATAATCTTTTAAATATGCCCAAGAAACAACTTCTGTCAAACAATATTATAAATTGAGCAGTTTCAGTTTTATGGTAACCCTTATAAAATATCCCCCTGCCATTATTCATTATTCTGGTATAATATTTAAATAACTGACTCAAATCAATAGTATATTTTTCATCAAAGCAAAAAAAAAAGCCAATAGAAACACACGTACAAAATAAGATACAAAAAGGCAAAATTTTTATTTGTTAATTCTATAAAAATAGAATTCAGAATTTGCTCATGCAAGAAACTCATGTATCTAATTAGAGAAATCAAAGAATAAAGTTATTTTTACTCTTTCATTCCTAAGATGCCACTCCTTGCAAAGATAAAATACATCACTGTTTTAAGATTATTTTTTGTACTGAACTTAAGTTTCTGTACCTCCTTTCAGTAGCCCTTTAAAATTAGTGTAAAGGAGCCAGAAATTTAGCTCAGAGGCACAGCAGCTGTCTGGCAAACGTGAGGTCTTGAGTTCAATTCTTAGTACCAAAAAAGAATTAATTAATTAAAATAACTTTAACGTAGACCTTAGATACTAAAAACTTATTTAATGCTCCATAAATAAGATTTTAAAAATTACCTTCGCAAAACATAAAAATAAAAACATAAGGGAAAATTTTATTGAGTCATATGTAAACTAAGTAATTCAAAATCTATTCAGATTTCTATGCAGTAAAAGAATTGGGACTGGGATCACCTCCCAGCATTTAACATGTATCCTCAAGAGCTACCAGATTTCTAGCAGTACCTCATGAAGCAACAGTGTTTATTTATCAGACAGCGTGACAGTTGATGGCAATCTATGATGTTATTGTGAAATAAAAATATGCTATGAAAATGAATCAAGGAAAAAATGGGAAGCATATACTATGCAAAAAACTATGTTCTGTCATTCTGAACCACGGCTAAACATGCCATTCACCTGTCCTATTGTCTATTCATTCAGAGATATTGTGCTTTCATAAACTGGCTGTCCACTTACCCGAGTTGTTTTCACTTTATTTCCAGAGGAGCAGCTCCACCCTTTCCTATCTGGGAGAACCTTACACTCTTCTCCCTCCAAACACGGCTGCATGTGACACCACCACTTCTGCTCCACTATGGAAGCTACAAGAGAGAAGAAAATCAGCTCAGGGTTTCTACTTGAGAAATGTAAACATTTAAAATAGAACAAAAGGCACTGGTCTCATTAAAAAATAAAAGAATTTTTCTTTTAAAGTTTTATTTTGGGGGATAAGTACACTTAACCAGAGATCTAAAGAGCCAATAAGTTTCTAAGTGAACTGTACAATAGTGTGGACTATAATCAAAATGTTGAAAGACTTTTCATGTAAAAATATAGTCATCAAAAGACAAATATATTTTTAAAAAATCTATGTGAATATATGCATGTACTGATTCATATAAATGTAGAAAAAACGGCCCCAGGCTTACATTAAAATCAGTAGTTTAGAATCAATGTAATATTTCCCATGAGTAGGCTGAAAAATCAGAAAACTTAGGAGAGCTAAAATTAGATAGAGTTAACACATTTTTCTTATTCTTTATCTTGAGCAATAATCTTATCACAGGACACCATCTAATAAATTATTATTTACAGTAATATAAATTAAATAGATCCTTAAATTTTTATATGTTGTTATATTTAGATGAACTCTCAAAGAAAGAAATTAATTCTCTCATGTACCTTCCTAAAAGTCAAATTTTGCAAGAATTCTCCCTACAACAAAACATTCACACATGTATAAAGTGTTGATTTTTTCATTATCCAGACTCAGCACTGTGTTTAGGAACCCTCAACTTTAAGCCATGTATTTTCACCTTGCTTTTACCAGTTAATTTACACACACCTTCCTTTATGATCCAGGAAATCAACATTTCATGGCATCAAAGTAAAAGACACATTGATGTAATTGAACCTTACTATAATGCCTTTTATAACAGAACCTTGTAAGATTGTAGGCATCTATCTAAAAGATTCTAGACTTCAAAATGCCCCTTCTCCCGCTTCATTGCAACCATGTGATTTTGGTGCAATTTCCCAGGATAGACTGTAGTTGATAATAATGGGGATCCAATCCCACGCAGGCCCAGATATGCTGTCACGGTGAACAATGGAAGAAGTCGCACCGTCTACACAAGAAGGAGCAGCCCGTGTGGTGCCAGCCACCTGTCCGGGGAAGCAGGAACACTTGACTGTTTGTGACCGTTCTTCTATCTTGTTCTTATTACAGCATCTGTGGAGTGCCACCACCTCGCAAGTTCCCGTTTTAACATGGTGAGCTGCGTAAACACAAATAAAAGATAAAACAATACTGAGAAAGCTTTGGACACGTTCATCCTCTTTCTAATTAGAAGTACATTAAATATAGCTCTATAAGGAATCCACCATGCATGAAACTAGAAATACAATGATGCTAACTCCATAGTGTAGATTTTATTTCTTTTCTAAATATAGTGAGAGCATTTCTGTCAGTAAATGCTTGGTGAAGCAGCAACAATTACTGACTAGATTAGAATGAGCTGTTTAAAACAGTCTGAAATATAGAGACAATATATGGTGTTATATCAAAATGCAGTTATTTGCATATGATTTTCCGTACTCTTTTGTTCAATGTGCAGATCAAACTAAAGTACATCCTTTGGAAACTAAAGGTATTCCAAAGCAGGGCTGACACCAATGCTATTCTCAAAGTGGGTGGGTGCTGACAATCGTTATGTCCAACAGGAGGAGAGTGTGCAGACCGGGCAGAGATCACTCTGCCAGGAAACAGAAGGCAGAGCATCAGGACCATATCTTCAGTCACTATTCTTCTGCCCACTTTCCCCAGAAATGAACCAATAAGATTATTCTTTAATTACTACTATTTTCTTAGAAGCTCAGCTAGTCTCAGCATCCAAAACCATTCCTTTCCATTTTGCATAAGGGGATAGCTGTCATCAAATGGTACCAACTACAGTCAGAACTTGAGTGGATTGCATCTACCAGCTGGCACCTGATGACCCAGCCTCATAAGTTATCAGGACCCCGTAACAATTTTATTAACATCGAAATAAGGTTACTGGGCTGATGGGATGTTTGAATACTTTGTATCTTACTTTTTATAATGTGATAGACTTCTAGACTGTCTTAATCATTGTTATTCTTTCCTGCATTTCTTCTTCAAATTATTAACCCTACTTGGAAATGATAAAGCATAAATTTTATCTGCTAAAAATAAAAATAGCTTAAAGTCAGACATCCTTTAAAAGGTAGTACTTTCAAAAATTTAAAATGTGAGTTATATTAAGCCAAATTTAAGTAGGAAAGTAAGAGATCCAAATTTGTTAAAAGTTATAAACATACTTAGACTCATTATAATTGAGATCATGTATTATGTTAAGCTTCCCTTGGAAGATGAGAAGAATAAACATATAGTAACTTAAGTTAGAGATCCTACTTGCAACCAGAATCATGGAAAGAATTAAATTCATAAACTGAGGTCCAACTATAACTCTTTTCTCTAGTTAAAATAGTTATTAACAAAAAGACAAAAGATTGTAAGTGTTGACAAGAATACAGAGAAAAGAGAATATTTACTATTAGTGAGAAGGTAAATTGAGTCCACAACTATAAAAAAAAGGTGAAGTTTCCTTAAAAATTTTAAAATCCCAATTTAAATATAGTTTAAACTTATAAATTATACTTCGTAACTTGAAAATAAGTTTATATGATAAACCACTAATGTGGTACCTATATTCATTTATTGCATTTTGTTTTTGATCATTAAAAATTTGATTTTATTTCATAATTATGTAAAAAATATTTACACCACTACAGATCAAATCTATAAAACAAAGTTTATTCAGTGGAGCCTAGTTTCTATCCTTTTCCCCTCCCTGCTGTTTTCCCCTCTTGTAAGTTATCATTTTATTTAACACATCTCCCTATATAAAACTTTGCAAAATAATAATTTAAAAGTTAAAAATTGAACTGAGTTTTCTAAAGTTCAGTTTCGAGTTCTTGCCTAACACGCACAAGGCCCAGGGTTCAGTCCCCAGTACAGAAGCAACATCAGCAACAACAGATTACCTTATCATCCCACAGTCCCACTACTGGGTACAATGTGTATTCAAAAAGAAAGAAATCACTATGTCAAAGAGATGGCTGAACTTCCAAGTTCAATTGGAGCTTCATTCACAATCTCTAAGAAATGGAATCAAACTAAGTGTCCATCAATAGATAAATGAATAGAGGCAATGTGGCACATACACTCCTTGGAATAATATCTGTGCATTATGGAGAAAATTCTGTTATTTGTGACAACATGAAGGAAATCACAAGAGATTATGTTAGAGAGCAAGCAGCACAGAAAGACAGTGTGTGACCTCACTAATATGTGGAATCTAACAAAGCTGAACTCACAGAAACAGAAACTCGTGCTTCTACAAACTTACAGAAACTCACAGTTCACAGATGAACTATAGAAAGGATAATGGTAGCTACAGGGCCTAATTTTAAATTAGGTAGATATAAGTTTACGAGATATATTTTACTACATGGTGGCTAGAGTTAATTACAACGTATTACATTCTTGAAAATGGCTAACAGTAGATTTTGACTATCACAAAAAGAAAATAAAACCATAATCCATATGTTCCTTCACTGTGGTCGTTCCAAAAGGTACACATATTTCAAAACATCAGATTGTAAAGGATATGCACAGATAAGTAGTCAATTAAAAAGAAAAATAATGCAGAGTAGTGGGTAAATGAATAGCATCCAAAGGTAGAACTGTTGGATATAGAAATTCCTCTTAGTAACTCTTTTACCTTGTGCATATCACCTCTTATCTCTGGGCAGTAGCTTTATTTAATGTCAAAAAGAATATTATTAACAGCAACTTCAAAGGGTTTATTAGAGAATTAAATGAGCTAATATGCAAAAATTATTCAGAACTTCACTTGCCTGAAAATAAGCACTTCCATGTTTTAGCTGTTATTACTATTATTATTGTCATTATTATTATCATTACTAGCACTTGATCTTGCCAAAAACATTTGCATTCATCCCACGATTAAAATAAAACCATAAATGAACTAAATACAGTAGAGAAATGGCATTTGAGATGAGTTAAACTAAATACCATGTTAGTATAGTAGAGAATAGCAGGTAATATTTAGTAAATAATAGTAAAATTTTCTTTTATGGAACTTTTCTGTGAAAATTGAGCAACAGTGGTATACATAGTGCCAAGGATTTTTTTAAATAGAAGCTATAAAGCACATTCATTTGCTAGAATACTCTATGAGAAATTGACAACATAGGAGAAAAATGTGTGATTCAAAAATTATTCTTAAAAAAGAAAAAAGAACTGAGATCTAGGGCACCTCAGAGTATGTTAGCATTTGGAGTGGTGTAGGGACGGAATCCATTTTAACAACATTTCAGATGGAGTATGTGAGAGGCAGGTGGGTGTCACTGCATTAGGTGGTCAGATGAAGTAGTTTCTTACCTTTTTTCATCTACTTTTCTTATGACATGTGAGAGATGTTTGAAAAGAAACAATATAAGTAGATACTTGTGAAAGAGAAAACATGAATTTATAGGGAAGAACCAGTAGCACTACCTGACAGTAAGCTGATGCACATGGTAGGTGGCAGAGTACTCGGTGGAATGGAAGAAGGCGTGAACTCACAAAAGAGTGCGGATATCTGTGTAATGTTAGGTTATTTGAGACACTTGTATGTTTTTGCTAAATGTAGAAACCAGCAGATGTGAGTGATGATAAGATTAGCCCTATAAAACTTTGAGCGGAAGCCAGGGACAGATGATTAGTGCTCCTTCGGAGAGTGTCAATGAGCAGAGGCAGTTTGGGGAAGAGCTTGATTGTGACTGTGGTTCTGTTCTCCTCCACAGCACTACTGCACTCAAGAGCACGTGATGAGGCACCTCTGACTTCCACCCCAGGAAAAGAGGCAACTTTTCAACACCAATGATATTTTATTAGCTTTAGTATAGGGAAGTTTTAGTATATATTGAAAAAGAAGAACAATGAACTGAAAATATGCATCTGGTTCTCCCTTAATAACATCATTAAATTCATTTCCACTTTGCCTAACAAGACAAATATTAGGATAAAGCAGTTGTGGTTGCTGTGAATGCTATTTACCAAATATCACTAGTTTTCTCTGTCTTCTGGGATCAAGTAGCAATGTACTTCTCCATCCATTAGCTTTAAGTGTGTGGAAGTGAATTGCTTTGTCCAGTGAAATGAAAGCTAATGAGTTCTGTGTGGAAGCCTTAAGAGCTGGTTTGTAGTTTGCTGTGATTTTTCTCCACCAACCTGAGTAACCGATTATGTTCTTGATAGTGGAGACTAATCCCCCAATAATGAGACATGAAATAAAATCTTTACCAATCGTGATGCACAAATGAGAAATAAACTGATGTTATGGCCTTCTGAAATTCGGATTTCATCACTGCCACAAACTTAACCTACTATGACTACACAGTACCTGTTCCCGCTCCCCAGATTGCTCAGTAGGGTGTACTATTCCACATACGTTAATTGGAAGATAAGCAAATGAAATTTCATATTTTTAAAATCTTCCTCCTGCTTATTTGAGCCAATGTGAAAGAAAAATTAAAGAAATATTGTCAAGGCATTAATAAAATATTTGAGGGGATGTAATGAATTTCCCTACAATAGAATATTTACATTGGCTAAACCGGGTAAGTCAGAGCTCTGGCAAAGAAAATGTGTTACTTCCTTCTTGAAAAAGGAAGGAGATTATGAAGGTTATAGAGTAGAATAGAAAAAGAATGTGATTGCTGTGCTGGAAAGGAAAACAAGGATATGTATTCCCTCAGAAGATATGATGCTAAAAGTTAGGAAATTAACAGGAAATGGGGCAAGGAAGAGCTGATGGTGGCCTGATGGGCACAGAACATTCCTACCATGCAGTTTCTTTCCACTGCTTAGGAGAGTTCACTTTGCTGGTGAGAAACAGAATTTTTGTGGAGATATCTCTCAATCTTTGTTTTTTCTTATTAGAGATGTAAAGCTTTCTATGGGGAAGAGAGGGATAACTAAGCTTTTGAAAGTAGAATGGATTGGGCTCAGGATTTAGCTCAGTGGTGTAATATCTGCTTGGCAAGCATGATGTCATAAGTTTGATCCTTGGTATCAAAAATAAATAAGTAAAAATAATAAAAGTAGAGTAGGTGATAGAGAGGCCTTGGTAGATAGTGTCAGACAGACAGAGAGGTAACAGATTGTTTAGTGCTCAGAATTTTAAAG